CCCCCAAAAGCTTCTTCTAACTCCCCGGGCCTCCATGACCCGAAACCCTAAACCCTAAACCTTAAACCCTAAAACCCATGAGATGCATGTCATGGCCATCCTCGGCGGGATCTAAAGTCCTCGAAGGCTCATACCAAGACCTGGCCACCCCTGGCCGAAGTTATAACCACCTCTGCTGCAAAGCCCTAAGGAGTCGCAAGCCTTCTTTAACTTTCCTTCAGAATTATTTGTTTTTGTCATGTTATGCCCAGCAAGTGAGGGTCCCGAGATCCAGGTTTGAGTCTTGGGGGTTCTTGAGCACATAGGAAGATGTCCTCCGCATCACGAACAACGAGGGTGTCCCGAACCACTGGCTACGCTCCCGGTGCCTCGTCGCAGCTCTTGGGTCGGGAGCCCTACCTCTAAGAGTCTACCAAGACCGTGAGAAATCCTAGACCCTAAGGTACCAAAAGGCTGAGCACTCAACGTAATTCGAGTTTGCACGATGATTGGTAGAGTTGCTGATCACCAGAACAGCTGGAACAGACGATGAAGACGGAGAAGAGTATACCAAGCTCTCAGGGCCTTAAGTCGCACAGACCGACCGAGACAAGACCCTCTCCTCAATGCCCGCCCCATCCCAAAGGCATTCCAACGACTGGTTCGTCGCCCGATCGAGATCGATGCAGTTGCTCGAGTGCGCTCGATGCGGGTAGGGCCTGGGGGGTTCTTGTCGGTCTCTTCGAGGGTCTAGAAAAATAAATAGACTAAATATGTGTGTATAATATATATATATATGTAGAGACATATTCTGAAGGTTCTGGCAGGGGCTGAATCTGTTTTTAAATGGGTTTGTACGATTCGCAAGAGCTTATATTTGGGATCTTTATGGCTCGTAAACGACACCTCCAGCTTTCTATGGCTCTTAAGGGTTATTCTAGGGTTTATAGGGCTTTTGTATATCCGTGAACTCATACAACGTGCCGAGGACACCCGTGTCCTTTGCCAGGTAGGGCTTAAGAGCCTATACCTGCCTCTAGCCCCAGTAGAGAACCCGTAAGTTAGGAAAAGGTTCCCTGTAAGTCCTACTTAAATGGTTGCTCTCAAGTCCAATGTCCTTTGAAGAGGCTACCTGCCGTTCTGGCTCCTCTCTCGGTTGAAGTTTAGGATGGTGACTCCGAGAGCGGACTTCCAGATAGAAGTTCTCGCGAGGCGTATGTGCCGCTGCTCTGATTCTTCAGAGACTTACACGTCGAGGGTTCAAGGTCTCGTAATTCGGGGTTGGTGCAGTCCTGCGTCGCAGCGGCACCGAAACAGGCAGGTTTGAAGTATACCTTCGCTACAGGGTTTCTTACAGGGTTCTCTATGACTCTATGGTTCTATATAAGAAAGTGTTAGAATAAGTAGGGTTCCTGTAAGCATGTCGTCCAGGGGTTCGTCAGGGATTACTGCTTTTAAGGTTCTAGCAAATCGTGGCCTGAATAATTAGAACAGGGCTTGGGTATTGGGGGGCTACTCTATTGTATTCAATAAGGGCACTCTAAGGGGGATAGTATCAGTGCTGTGGTACTACCGGAAGTTGTGTTAAGGCAACTCTTTCAGCCCAAAGCCACTCATGCCCAGACTCCATAATCCCGAAGGCACACAAATACTGACAAATTCCTCGCAGATGTTTAGGATTGTGCATCTAGTGATTGCAATAGCTTGAAGAGTACAGATGATGCCAGGGGCAGACCCCAAACGAGGAAAGATCACCCATGAGTCCTTGCCTACATAATTACCTGAGACCACAGCAAGGAGTCCCGATGAAGAGTGTGGCCCTCCCAGGATGTTTGTATCGGGAGCACGACTTCATTCACACCACACCCAAACTGCGCCCAGCACCTTTTGCAGTCGACTCGCCTCGTTCAGTAGTCTTGCAGCCGGCATAAGAAGGCCATACTGTTGCGACCACGACAGTGGTCACTCAACACGATGCAGGGCATGTTCTTATCAAGACCATAGTTCTAACACCAAGGATGGAAGCAGTCCGGCTTGTGCAAGCGAGAGGGAGAGAGAGGTAGAGAGTAGAGAGAACTTACAATAGTAGAAATGGTGTACTATAGTCTATAGTAGCAAACTAGTTTCCGAAAAACTGAGGCTTTGGGTTGAGCACACCTCGGAGCCTTTCGACATTGTCCCGATGCTGGCAAAAGCCCCTATGAAGCCTGACAGCTTGCAGTTTCAGAGTTGCGGGGCTTAGGGCTTCGGGTGGAGGGTATAGGGGCATCCAGTCTGGGTACTTGGAGGCTCATGGGCAGTTGCATGTGGGGTTTGAACATGGGTTATATGACTATGGTTACCCTACTAACCCCAACTTATAACTACCCATGAACTTCGAACTAGTTATGCCCCGCCCCCCCGCCCCCCCACAACGCCGTAAATCCTTCTTTCAACACCCAAACCTCCCATTCCCCTCCTGTACCCTTCTATTTCCGCTTCGACGTCCAGACCACATTACTGAACCCCCAAGCTTAACACCCCGTCTGCCACATTGTCAGGTTCCGGCAAGATCCTGTATTAGTAGATGTGTAACGATAAAACTCAGGTTTTGCACGCTAGTACTATGTAGGGCTTTGGAGGTCTCGAGTAGTTCACGGCTGTAATTGTGGCTTTGTACACGGCTTTACAGTAAAGGCCGGAGGGTCAAAAGGTGCCCCACCTAGATTGAGTCCCCACCACAGGATCACTAGACAGCCCTTGGTGAGAAAAGGGTGAAAGAGTAACCCGTGGGTCTGCGCTTCAGTTCGGGGCTTGAGGCAATAAATCTGGCGCCACATAAACGAACTCGCCATCTCCCCCTTTGGAAGGCACTTCGTGGCGATTCTGTAGGGTGGCATTCAAGGGAGGCTTGGGGGTTCAGGGGTAGCTAGTTTGATCAGTTAATGTTACGAAGTCGAAGGATTTCTGGCTCTGGGGTTTCGCGGTTTCCCGGTTTAAGGTTTAGGGTGTTAGGGCAGTTTACGGTATACAAACCATAAGGCATGTACACCCCAAGCCGCCAGCCTCAACTTGAATGTACCTTTCGCTTGGGATCCCTCCCGTTTCCAAGGAAAGAGGACTTGAATGAGCCCCTCAACTGCTCCTCTGCTGCAACCGGCCCTAAGAGTCCATGTGTCCCACATAGAAGGCCCGGGGGAGGTGAAAAAGGCTAGGGGCCAAAGTTGGGATAACGTTTGCAATTCAGGGTTGAGGGCATAGGAGATGATGATGCTGCATGCAGGCAAGCAACATGAATGAGAGAAGGCGTGTTGTCTCGATCCCTCGTTCTCCTTCTCAGAGCGTGGTGATCTTACTGCCGCCAGCAGTAGAGGTTCTGAGAGTCAATATACAAGCGCTTTAAAACTTTAAACCCCCAGCCTTAACCCTCAACCGAAAGCCTGCAATTGCAGTTTCACAGCCTCACCTAAAGCCTAAGCCTAAACCCAAATCTCAGCCATGCGAGAGGAAAAAATCCAAACCTAGGCCTCAGCCGGTACGACTTGATAGGGGCCTGCGAGCGTCAAAGTGCCTTCTACTACCAGGTCGCCGTGCTTCTCGGCCGGGTGTACGTACCTGATTTGTCGAAGTTTAGGATTTAGAGGGGTTTAGGTTTTCAGGGTTTAAAAATTTTTTAGAGGACAGAATTTAAGGACAGGCTTTGGGTTATAACGTATAGATGTATTATAATAAGGTTTAGGATTTGTGGCTTAGGGCTTAAGGTTGATTGAACCCATCACCGAAGCTACATGGGGGATCTGGGGTGATATGGGGCTGCGGCAGCCCGTCCTGAAGACTCTATAGGGGGCTCTGGGGCCTCAACCGGGGTTTCAGGTCGCGTTCCTCCGCATCTTTCCCGAATTCGGGGCTTCGAGCTCGTTGGGGTTTGCATGGACCCTAGGTTCGTCAGTGACCCCTACATGAAGAAGGGAACACTGAACCCGAAATCCTGTGATACAGTTTTGACCTGGGAGCCCTATACATAAGACAGGGTCAAACCGCATGAGCCTGTGCCAGCCAAACTCTGAAAGGGACCGCTTTTGGCAGTGTCCATGCAGTACTCTAGTTGCTACTTATAGTTAAAGGGGTCCTACATAGTACATATATACTATAAAGATACTTGGAGCAGTCTAACAGAACCGCATGCTGGAAGCAGAAGCATCCAGCTGCAACTGTGTTTCCCGACAGCTTCTCTGTTGCTTATTTCGATCTGTATGCATGATTTCCAGCGATACTCTCTCGCTCTCTCTCCCTCAACAGAGTATGTACCTGTAAAATGTATAAGCTTCTTACATAAAACACTTGGGGCCCCCAAAGAAACCTTATGTTCATAGAGCCCTAAACCCTAAATCGTAAACCCTAAACCCTAAACCCCTAAACCCTAAACCCCTAAACCCTAAACCCTCTTTGACCACCAGGCAGCCCTTGACGCCCATGGTAACAGCTCCGCAGCTCAAGGGCCGACAAAAAGCCTTACCATAGGCCCCCTAAGTAGGGTTTAGGGTTTAGGGGTTCCTGTTTGGGATTACCTTATAGGATTCTATATATAAGCCGTAAGAAGGAACTACTTAGGGGCCTATGGGTAGGTATAAATCCCTACAGCCCTCAGAGGTGCCTAGGCCGAGTTTTCCTGCTCGTCGACGACCTATCGTACTAGCCCCCTAAACCCATGTACATAATTTAGTTGCCATGGAACTTCATGGCACCCTTGCGGGCCATAGGTACTACAGCGCCAAGCCCTCAACCCTAAGACGTATAACATATAGCAACTCAACTTCGGACAGTGACATCCGCTGCGTATCCTGGAACCCATGCTGACATACCGAGTCCTAAAGGCAGTCCCAAAACTAGGATTTAGGGGTGTAGAGTTTGACCGACTTGAAATCCTGACCTACAGAGATACTAAATATTCCTTGCACCAGACGGGGTTTTGATAAGACAGAGGAGTTTCGGATCCCTTAAGGGCATTAGGGCAAAAGGATAAAAGAAGAGAGTCTACCAGGATGCCCCACTACCGCGATCGATATTTCCTAGAGCTCGCGGCGGAGAGATATCTAGACGCTTGGCTTGGCGTTGGGTTTGGTCATTCGCGGGCTGATCTTGAAGGGGGACATATATTTTATATATATATATACACACATATATACATACACAGTACATATACCTTTATACGTATACATATGCACACAGGCACATATGTCGGGTTTAGGTTGGCATCCAGGGGGTCTGTGACATGCCTTCAGTCAGTCCCTTTTTGCGCCCTACTCCGAGCATGATCGCTTTGCGTTCCCCGCTGGTCTCAGGACAAATTCTTAGAGTTGAAGAGACAACGCCCAGATGAGTTCTGGGTGCCGACCTACGACGTCGACTGCACCCCGGTGGTGCAGTAATCTGGTGAATGGTCATAGTTTTCAGAGCTTCCCCCAGGCTGCTGCCAGGATGTATCATGTCTCACTCAGACCGTGTTGTCCGCACCATGCCAGACTCCTATGAGTAGAGGTGCTGAAGCCCACGTACGAAATCCTGGACTGTAGACCAGCCAAACTCAACAGCATGCTTGCATCTCCTCACTTTGCCGATCAAAGCATAGGATAGGCGGCATGCCGTCAGCACATCAAAGCCTACATAAGCTGTTATATGCGTTGAAGTAGGGCTTCCGTGTCCGTCGACTGTTGTTCAACTCGTCTCCTTGCTCGAAAGTGCGGACTCACAGCTGGTACTTGCACGACAGCAAACACGAAAGAGAGAGAGAAATAGAGGACAAGAGAGACGGAGACAGATAGAGAAATAGAGAGGGAGAGAGAGTGTGTGAGTGCTGGAGGGAGGTAGAAACTACATAGAACTACATAGACAGAGAGACGGACAGGCTGACAGGCAGACAGGCAAGGCAGACCCCACGTGACACACACAACGCGGGGAACGTGACCTGAGCCTCCAATGCCAGAGCCAGTCAAAACAGAAGCCTGGATGACTACCCCGATCAATCTGTAAGGTTCCTTGTCATAATTCTACGCTGCGTCTACGCTAATATATACCCCAAAACCCCATTCCAATTATTACGGGCCCCGTCTGGGGGTTGAGACCTGTCGTTTTACAGGCTCGCCCCTGCGGTCAACCCCACAACCTGCTATGAAACAGGCACACAGTGTCGAGAAGTCCATCTTGATGACCTCACACAGTGCCACTTCATACCATGTAGTAAGCACGCCGGATGACTATACTGAACTGCTGGAGAGACCATCAACCTGGGATCCTCTGTTGGGAGCGCGAGCTCATGAATTCGGCCAGGCGTGGCTCTCAGAAGTGTTACTACGTATAAGGATCAAATGAACGAAAAGGCTATACGGGGTATCACCTATCATCAGACCTCAGGACTTATTCGGCATTCGTCGAACATGATATTGCTGTAGTCAGAGGTCACCATGAGGTCGCTGAATAGTGCCTGGCCCTACTTACCAAGTGCTTGCGCAACATACCTCGAACTGAGAGCCTTTCCCCCCCAACAGGCCTTGACCTTCACGCCCCAGCACAAAAAGCTGGAGCACTAAGCGTGTCCTAAACCCGCAGCCCTAATCCCTGATCCGGTCTAAACCACCCCAAGCTCTAAACACCAAAGCCCCCAATTGCCAAGGCATTTGGCACGCGCATCAGCTACATCCGTGGAAATATGAAGAGGAGACTGCCGAGCTTTGCGGCCGTCTCCTCCCTCATGATGACAGCGCCTCTGATGGTATGCCGTATAGTAACCTGTGTAGTAGCCCTTCTCATCAGTTGCTGTTACCACTACAAGCTGCTGCGATGCAGCGCCGACGAGTAGTACATATCAGTCCTATCCAACCCTAAACCCCTAGCACTGCGGCCATAACTGTGGCGACGACTCCTATGGCGCCACGCACAAAGCATACGATACTGCCCACTATTTCTTGAAATTCCCGAGGCCCCAAAGCCGCCCAAAAATCCAGGGTTTCATAAGGGAACCCCTGGCCCAAACTTTGAACTCCAAACCTGCCGAGCCCTGTCACCGCAAGTTTCAGACGCCCAGGTGTTAACGACCGCAGCTCGGGATCCCAGCTATCCGTTCGATGGGAGCAAACGAAGCAAGCCTGGAAGGTGCGCTGCGCTTTCTTGCTCGTAGACGCTGGTGTCACAGATATGTATGCTGTTAGACATGTATCGTGGAGGTTTTTAGTTTCGGAGTTAGCTTTTCTATTGAAATTTTGCACTGCAGAGTATTGCAGAGTATGCACAAGGACACCATGCATACATCAACGCCTTCATGTGTAGATCTTTATCCAAGAACTGACTTCGGTTCCAGTTGCTTCCGTAGTCACTGTGCTGCGTCTTCGGTATGCAGGAGATCTTTCGTGACGAAGGACCATACCGCAGTGGCAGCATGTACCGGGGCACCGTGACGGCGCAGGCGGGCTGTCCTCATAGTAACTCCAGTTCGAAAATCTCACCTCAAGGCCAGTAACCCGAAACTCTAAAACAGAGAGGCAGTGGATTCGGGTTCCAATGTTCCTGCTGACTGTTCCACTCACCGCTGCGAGAGTTTTGGTGTAAGGGTTGAGGGTTAGGAAAGCTGCCTGCTTGGTGTTCGAGTTCGAGGTACACCTAAACCTGCAAGACTCACAAACCCCAATCCCAACCCCTCCAACCCTGTGCGATCTTGCAAAGATTTCAATTCTAAATGCTTAAACTTAAAGCTATAAATTCCGTGCATCCCCAAAAATTATCTGGCCCTAACTTCTCCCTACGTTGCTATGAGCAATACACTCCCGAACAAAACGGCTGCCCCTAAGGGTCCATTCGCTCACGTAGTGTTTATTTTGGCCGTGAGAAACTTATGTAGGACTACCTCAAGGCCGAAGTGTATGGGTACAGGGACACCGTTTGGGCATGCTCTTTAACACAAGGAGCGATTGAGCCGCGAGCAGCAGTGGAACTACATGCGCTCCGTGATTGGTCCGGATGTGTACCTCGGCCGAATGAGGAGGGGCTCTTTAGAGATGCTTTAGATTCTGTAGATAGGCTCCCGAAGGGAGGTTCCGAGTGTTAGGTAGTATGGTACTGCCTCTGGCTTACTATACCAGCATACCCTATGAACCCTAAACCCTACTCTAAAACCTTTCGCCGTGAGAGGAAAGTCGCAATGGACAGGCCCCGTATCAAATAGAAGCCGAGTATATTGCAAGCTTGAGTAAATTCCGTTATTCTAATATAGTTCTACTACCTATCCTCAAACTGTAGCAGGTTTATTGGGTGAGGCTCACACTCAAAGCAACTTGTTGTTGCAAATCCTTACTAGTAGCTAGTTCCGTGAATTCGGCGATAGAGCAGACATAGCACAGTGCGGTTCAGGGCCCCTGCTTTCTCAACTGCTCAGGACAGTTGCGCTAATGTTGCTGTGTGTCTGGTTAGATTTCAATCTTCACCCAAATAACCCGCCTTTTGGTGGACTTACATAAAGGAGTCATAATTGACAAGGATCCCCGAAAGGGGAGGTTTGCTGGTGTCCAGGATGTCCTCATTGTTGTTATCACTCATGTTGCTATGGTTATCATTGCATTCGTCTACCGACTACTACAGTACCTTTATCATCATTTGTTGTTATTGCCAGTAATTCGTCATATTTGTCCCTCAACCCGATAACCCAAAGCCTAAACCCTAAACCCTCTAACCCTAAACCCTAAACCCAAAGCCTAAAATAAAAGCCCCTTGTTGCCCACTTGTTCTGGAAGCCTTTGAGTGCAGGATTGAAAGCTTTTTGGCCAAGAAAGTTTCGGGCTAACCTTATCTTTAGGGTGTAGGGTTTAGGGTTTAGGTGCCGAAAGGGTTTAGGGTTTTAGGGGCTTAGGGGTTTAAGGTTTAGGGTCCCCTTAATAAACTTTAAGCTACCGCCTGCACTTCGTAAATCCCGAACTTTACCTAAACCCTCTGCGTGCCCTCATCCCAGAAGTTCCAACCTGTAACCACCATCAAAGCCCATGATACTTTAGGGGCCTTTAATCAAGAATATGTTTTGGGCTCCTTGGTAGCATAGTTAGAATAAGGAGCCCAAAGGAATAAAATTGAGAAGCTGTGGTCTTGAGGACTGCTGGGCACTGCTGGGCAAGCACCAAACTTGGTGCATACCCATAGGCTCCATTGAAGTTCAAGTTCCTTTTTGTTTTATGTTATGGGTAGTTCTTCAAATTAGGGTCCCTTTTTTTGATCCCCCAATGTAGTACGGCACCCTTACAGAAAGGACCCTAAAAGGCACCCGACTTTAGAGAGAACTACCCTTATAGGATCCTAGATTTTATAAACCACAAGAAGGAAACCGCAGTGGTCGCTGCGGCGCCCTTCGAAGTACCACCCTGCTGTGGCGGGTCGCCATGAAACCCCGAAGCCTTCTCTCTGAAGCCTAAACAGTCAAGGGTTTAGGGTTTGGGGTCCTGAGCCCGCAAGAGCCTACTAAATCCTAAACCCCGAACCGCCGAAAACCTAAACCCCAGGGGCCCTAAACCCGAAAGAGCCTCGTAAACCTAAAGCCTATAGAAGCCCAAAAGCCCTAAATCCGAAAGAGCCGCCCTCTCTTCAGAAACATCCGCGCCGACGTGGTCTGGAAGGTCGCGCCTGCGCCTGCGTGGGCGGAGCCTCAGAGGTCGTCTATTGGGTTTAGGGCTTATAGGGCTCATAACAATAAGCGTTGACAATAACTAGGGTTTCGGGTTTAGGGCTTATAGGGTTTGTTATAATTATAGGGTTTACCATAGCTTGACAATAGCTACAGTGTAGGGCGGTTTAGGGTTTAGATAGTCAGGGCCTACGATATCTGGGGTTTAGGGTTGCTTAGGTTTTATAGTGTTTGTCATATACTGCGGGTAGGTTTGCAATAACTAGGGTTTAGGGTTGTTTAGGGCTCATTGGGTTTATCGGAATTCGGGTTTACAGTAACTAGGGTTCCGGGTTGTTTAGGGTTTATACGGTTTAGGGTTTATATAGGCAAAATTAAAGGGTTTAGGAATTCCGGTTTCGAGATCTTCGCAAGAGCTCTCAGGATTAGAGATGTGGTTTTCGGTGGTTGAATTCAGCTCTCGGAGCGCAGGTTTTGAGTAACAAGGGTCAAGGTGTAGGGCTCAGGTTGCGCATCTTCGGCTCTTTCGCATGACTTTGCCGGGTTTCAGAAACCTCGCGGGCCGTATATTTCTGGACATTCATAGAACTTCACGCGTGCAGTTAGTTTTGAAATAGTCAGCATCCTTTCAGAATTCTTCGAAGACGATCGACGCCTCGTTCCCAACTCATCATCCGCTGAAACCCTGAAGCAACCCAGACCGAACAGTATAGTATGGGATAGAGTGGGATAGAGTGGGATAGTATAGGATAGTACAGTATAGGATGGTTCAGTAGAGTAGAACAGTGCCTCGGCAGGAGCGAGTTGAAGTGGGTCCACCGGAAAGATCTGGATAGCGAGGTCATGACCCCAGGGGGTGGATACTTTTTGCCTTTTCTTGCTTTCTACAAGCTTTGTTTTCCCACCAGCGACATCCCACGTCGAAGTCGCACGAAAGGATGTGGGACCCTATAGGGCTGATTCCCCCTCATCGGTTCGCAAGCAGAACTAGTGCAGCTAGCTGATCTGCTAATTATTTTTTGACCTAGGAGGTGGAATGCTGAGCCCAGTAGAGTTTGATTCGCGTGGCGAATCCTTTGCAATTTGCGCAAGGAGTGTTCTGTTGCATGGAGTCATTCAGCGCAGTCGCAGGAATAGCCCAGGAACGCCCGAAATACATTCAAAGTCACTGAACCGAAGATGTATGTCCCTAGGCTGCGTGGACTGCATCACCACTTGGTCTCTCCGATTTCTCCAATTGATGATCATAGCAAGGCATAAATTTCGCTCACAGCCTAGGTCTCCCTCTAGATTGAACCCTGCCGTTGCTGGCTGTTGCCACTCTCAAAGCCCCGTGCATGTATTGCTCTGGATCCTTCAGCACACGCATCCGAAGCCACGAGATCGCCAGTTCCTATGCCTCCAAAGCCCTGTGCCGGATGTGTCCTTGGTTGTCTCTGCAGCCCAAAGCCCGAAGCCGACCAGAACGCCGACAAGTTGTAGACTTTCGAGAGAATGCGGCCAGTTGTCTTGCATCCGTGCCTGGTAGTGGCGTGAGAGCAGGGACTTTCAACTCTCAATCTGGGGGTTTTAGGGTTGAGGCCTCTATAGGGCTCCAGGGTGCACACTTCGGCACTAAGCCTGTCCACAAACATCCCTTGCTGAACTACCGGAGAAGGCCATAGCTGCAACTGGGACATGATCCCTCAACCCTGTATCCTCAAACTCCCTGCCTCCTTGGAGGCAAATGTCGTGGGACTTCGACGCTTCTCCTCCTTAGGCACACTGAATGCGCAGGCGCAGAACTTTCCCGTCTTTCGGGTATCGGGGCTGAGGGCTTCGGGGGTTTTCAGGGTGTGGTGACAGTTGTGTTCGGTGTTTCTTGTCGACGGCAGCATGCAGTCACAGGGCATAGGGTGTTTAGATGAGAGGCCCTTCCTGATGATGCCCTAAGCCACGGTTTAGGGTTTAAGGTTTAGGGGTTCAGGGTTTAGGGCTTTGGGTTTAGGGTTTAGGGTTCAGCGAATGAGAGAAGCAGAACATGTCAACGTTTTCACCTATGGGCAGTCCGAGCAACGCTCGGGATGCAGTCGTCCCACGCTTGTTCATAGGCCCTTACTCGACAAGGCATGCGCTGCACAGGACTGCTCCGACTCCTGTTTTTGAATGCTTTAGGGGCCTGCATGATTGCCAATACTATTTTTGGGGCTCCTTTCTGTAACTGTATTAAAATATACCCCCTCAAACCGTATTCTAATTATTAAGGGCCCTACATTACCAAAGCCACTGTGGGAGCTTCTGCCCTAGTTCGTATGTGAAGATCATAGCTCCAACACAGCCGGAAGAAGCGGGGAATCGCAGCAACATGACTCTAGAACTAAGCATCGTATGCTGCAGTGTTAACCTACACTAACCAGTATCTTAAGATTATGATGTAATCCCTGAGCCGTAAACCCTTACTCTAGTTCTGAAGTCCTTGGGACCTGTTTGTTTAGTACTCATTCGTTCCTTAGCGTTCGCTATATTAAGTCAATTGCATAATCACCCGTCTTCCCAAGATGACAGAACCTAGAAGCCCTAGGACTTCATCCTAAAACTCTGCAAGACGGTGGGTTTATGAGCCAACCTAGTATAGAAACCTGAATCAGCTCTAAAACTATTGTTTCGGGTTCCTTTTGATACGTCTACTATGATACACCCCAGAACCTTATTCCAAGTATTATCACCCCTATACTTAGTCCCAAAACGAAGCCTGGGCACTGAACCCTTCCCTGGAAGCCATTACCAGGACCCGCTTTGTACCCTCAAACAGGGGTATATGG